AGAAAATAAAGCCTCTCCTCATTGTTTCCATTGTTTCCCCATCGATTTGCCATGAAGTGATGGGACTGGATGCCATGATCTTAGTTTTTTGAATGCTGAGTTTTAAGCCAGGTTTTTTACTCTCCTCTTTCACTTTCATCAACAGGCTCTTTAGTTTTTCTTCACTTTCTGCCATAAGGGTGGTGTCATCTGGATATCTGAGGTTATTGATATTTCTTCTGGAAATCTTGATTCCAGCTTGTGCTTCACCCAGCCTGGCATTTTGCATGAGGTACTCTGCATAGAAGTTAAATAAGCAGGGTGACAATATGCAGTCTTGACGTACTCCTTATCCTATTTGGAACCAGTCTGTTGTTCCATGTTCGGTTCTAACTGTTGCTTCCTGACCTGCATACAGATTTCTCAGGAGGCAGGTCAGGTGATCTGGTGGTCTTCATCTCTTGAAGAATTTTTCACAGTTTGTTGTGATCCACACAGTCCAAGGTTTTAGCATAGTCAATGAAGCAGAAGGAAATGTTTTTCTGGAACTCTCTTGTTTTTCTATGATTCATCTGATGTTGACAATTTGATCTCTGATTCCTCTGCCTTTTCTAAATCCAGCTTGAACATCTGGAAGTTCTCAGTTCACTTACTGTTGAAGCCTAGCTTTGGGAATTTTGAACATTACTTTGGTAGTGTGTGAGATGAGTGCAATTGTGCAGTAGTTTGCACATTCTTTGGCATTGCCTTTCCTTGGGATTGTAATGAAAACTGACCTTTTTCTGTCTTGTGGCCACTGCTGGCATATCGAGTGAAGCACTTTCACAGCATCATCTTTTACGATTTGAAATAGTTGAACTGGAATTCCATCACCTCCACTAGCTTTGCTCGTAGTGATGCTTCCTAAGGCCCACTTGACTTCACATTCCAGGATGTCTGGCTCTAGGTGAGTGATCACACCATCATAGTTATTAAGATCTTTTTTATACAGTTCTTCTGTGTATTGTTGCCACGTCTTCTTAATACCTTCTGCTTCTGTTAGGTCCATACCATTTCTGTCATTTATTGAGCCCATCTTTGTATGAAATGTTCCCTTGGTATCTCTAATTTTCTTGAAGAGATCTCTAGTCTTTCCCATTCTATTCTTTCCTCTATTTCTTTGCATTGATCACTGAGGAAGGCTTTCTTATCTCTCCTTGCTCTTCTTTGGAACTTTGCATTCAGATGGATATATCTTTCCTTTTTTCTTTTGCCTTTCACTTCTCTTCTTTTCTCAGCTATTTGTAAGCCTTCCTCAGACAACCATTTTGCCTTTTTGCATTTCTTTTTCTTGGGGATGGTCTTGATCACTGCCTCCTGTACAATGTTAGAAACCTCCATCCATAGTTCATCAGGCACTCTGTCTATCAGATCTAGTCCCTTGAATCTATTTGTCACTTCCACTGTATAATTGTGAGGGATTGGATTTAGGTCATGCCTGAATGGCCTAGTGGTTTTCAGTCGTGTCTGACTCTTTGTGACTGCATGGACTATACGCTCTATGGAATTCTCCAGGCCAGAATACTGTGTAGCCTTTCCCTTCTCCAAGGGATCTTCTGAACCTAGGGATCGAACCCAGGTCTCCCACATTGCAGGTGGGTTCTTTACCAGCTGAGCCACAAGGGAAGTCTGGTTTTCCCTACTTTCTTCAATTTAAGTCTGAATTTGTCAATGAGGAGTTCATAATCTGAGCCACAGTCAGCTCCTGGTGTTTTTTGCTGACTGTATAGAGCCTCTCCATCTTCGACTGAAAAGAATATAATCAATCTGATTTTAGTATTGGACAAACATACACAGTGTTTTAAAAAGCAGAGATATTATTTTGCCAACAAAGGTCTGTAGAGTCAAAGCTATGGTTTTTCCAGTGGTCATGTATGGATGTGAGCGTTGGACCATAAAGAAGGCTGAGCACCAAAGAATTGATACTTTTGAACTGTGGTGTTGGAGAAGATTCTTGAGAGTCCCTTGGACTGCAAGGAGATCCAACCAGTCAATCCTAAAGGAGATCAGTCCTGGGTGTTCATTGGAAGGACTGATGCTGAAGTTCAAGATCCAATACTTTGGCCCCCTGATGCGAAGAGCCTCCTGACTGTAAATGACCCTGATGCGGGGCAAGATTGAAGGCAGGAGGAGAACAGGATGACAGAGGATGAGATGGTTTAATGGCATCACTGACTCAATGGCCATGAGTCTGAGCAAGCTCCTGGAGATGGTGATGGACAGGGAAGCCTGGTGTGCTGCAGTCCATGGGGTTGCAGAGTCGGATACATCTGAGCTACAAGTGAACAACAAATGCATGTATACCCATACAGATGTATATATCAATATACACTTCATACACACATTGTGCCCCATTGTGCTGGTCTTAATCATGTCTGACTTTTTGCGGCCGCATGGACTGTAGCCCTGAAGGCTCCTCTGTTCTTGGGATTTTCTGGGCAAGAATAATGGCCTAGGGTGCCATTTTGTATACTTCACATATATAATAAGCTCCCCGTCATGTAAGAAAGAAGGGGTATGAGAAAATCTGCTTATTTGTGCAAAAAGAAGGAAGTATAATCCTAAGGTTGAGGCTTCCCTTGTGGCTCAGCTGGTAAAGAATCCGCCTGCAATGCGGGAGACCCGCGTTTGATCCCTGGGTTGGGAAAATCCCTTGGAGAAGGGAAAGGCTACCCACTCCAGTGTTCTGGCCTGGAAAATTCCATGAACTGTATAGTCCACGGGGTTGCAAGGAGTCCAACACGACTGAGCGAATTTCACTAGTGCCAGTACTAGCACTATAATCCTAACACTAAAGAAACTGGTTCCCTTGGGGTGGGGCGGGGGGAAGGGGTAGAAAGAACAGAGAAATGAGGAAGGAACAGTGAGTGTGAGAAGAACGTGACACTAAGTCCCTTCAGTGTTGCTGTTACTATTTGAACCCGCCGGCTTCCCTGGTGGCTCAGTGGTAAAGAACCCACCTGTAAAATGGGACCCCTGGGTCAGGAAGATCCCCTGGAGGGGGCGTGGCACGCGTGCCAAGATCTTGCCTGGAGAATCCCATGGACAGAGGAGCCTGGCGGGCTGCAGTCCATGGGGTCCCAAGGAGTTGGACACGACTGAGCGACTGCGTACATTTGAACCCATGGTCTGCCAGCTGGTTAAGCGCGGAGGCCAGGGGCCAGGGCTTTTTCAGGATTGGACACAGGAGGCCAGCAGAGATATTCATTCCTTACTTTTGTGCTTTTTACACTAACAATATTGCTTTCCGTACAAACAGCACATCATTCTTTGTTTAGATTTTTTAACCTTAAACGAACACTCCGTTTAGAGCAATGGTTAAAAGCAAGATCAAATAGCAGAGAGATAATTTTATTTCTGTCAATTATGCAGCAACCATTGCCTTTTTTTGACAGCCACAGGGTACCCTAGGCAATTTTCACTACTCTGGACAATCAAAATCTTAACTGGCTGGCTTTACACAAGGGTCAGTTATCTCCTTAATACATTCCTCTGTCTCTCTCAGCACTAACTGCTTTTCATTACCTTCGGTTTGGGATGAGATAACTGGAGAAGATCGGGAGAAGACTGGGAACTCTGGTATTTTCATTGCATGTGTGGGTGAAGCAGGAGTTACTCAAGCAATTACTAAGCCAGTTCAGAAGCCTTTTCTTTCACCCACCATAGCTCACATTTGCTACCAGAACATGTGATCACCGTAAACCATATGTCCTGATTATTTTGGTATAACTCTATTTAAATTTGCACTTTTTAATTTAGGGTGCTAATGTTACTTAGCCTTGTTTCCTTTCTGTAGGATAAAGAATTAGTGTTCAATTTGAATTCTGACTCCTGTGTACTGACGTCATCAAATCTTTCTGACTATTGGTTTTTCTATTTGTGAAGCTAAAATGATAATAACTGTATGTAGTGAAACCTAAACCACAGTGCCAGTTATTAGTAATGTTCAATTAACCTTCAGTTCAGTTCAGTCTCTCAGTCGTGTCCAACTCTTTGCGACCCCATGGACTGCAGCATGCCAGGCCTCCCTGTCCATCGCCAACTCCTGGAGTCACTCAAACCCATGTCCATCGAGTTAGTGATGCCATCCAACCATCTCATCCTCTGTTGTCCTCTTCTCCTCCTGCCCTTAATCTTTCCCAGCATCAGGGTCTTTTCAAATGAGTCAGCTCTTCGCATCAGGTAGCCAAAGTATTGGAGTTTCAGCTTCAGCATCAGTCCTTCCAAAGAACACCCAGGACTGATCTCCTTTAGGATGGACTGGTTGCATCTCCTTGAGGTCCAAGGGACTCTCAAGAGTCTTCTCCAACACCACAGTTCAAAAGCATCAATTCTTCTGCACTCAGCTTTCTTTATGGTCCAACTCTCACATCCATACATGACCACTGGAAAAACCATAGCCTTGACTAGATGGACCTTTGTTGGCAAAGTGATGTCTCTGCTTTTTAAGATGCTGTCTAGGTTGGTCATAACTTTCCTTCCAAAGAGTAAGCATCTTTTAATTTCATGGCTGCAATAACCATCTGCAGTCATTTTCGAGCCCCCCAAAATAAAGTCAGCCACTGTTTCCACTGTTTCCCCATCTATTTGCCATGAAGTGATGGGACCAGATGCCATGATCTTAGTTTTCTGAATGTTGAGCTTTAAGCCAACTTTTTCACTCTCCTGTTTCACTTTCTTTTTTTTTTTTCCTCTTTCACTTTCATCAAGAGGCTCTTTAGTTCTTCCGTTTCTGCCATAAGGGTGGTGTCATCTGCATATCTGAGGTTATTGACCCATCTATTTTAAAAAATTTTAATCTTCCTTTTATAATCAGCAAGAACTCATTTTTTACCACTCTTTTGAAAGCAACACAGAACAGGGTTTCCCAAGGTCATTTGTTTCAGTCAAGGTTTGATTTGTGATCGCACATAACAGAAATAACACTGGCTGGTTTGACCAGGAAGTTGTTTAATTAAAGGCAATTGGATAGACCAGAAAACCTCCAGGAGAGTTTGGGGATGTGGCTTGGAGGCCACGTAATCAGGGAAACGAGCTGCACGCCAAGCAGGACTCTCCAGAGCCACACCCCCGCAGCTGGCGCAGGCGGCCAGTGGTCTCCCCAGCGCCGCAGACCCTGGAGCAGGGTTGAGCCACCAGGCCACAGTGACCATGGTCACTCTGCTCGTGGCCTTGCCAGACTGCGTCCTGGCAGCCCCAGATTCGACTTGTCGCCGCCTTTGGAATCGTGTCCAGGGCAGGCTGGTCAGACTGGACAGGCTTACGTCTTGTGTCTGCACTGACCACAGGGGAGACTAGAAAAGTGCCTCTTAGGTGTCTTCCTCTTCAAAGAGGAGTTGAGTTTATGCCCCGGTTTAATCCCTGGGGGTCCCCCCAAAGAGGAAAGGGGTTCAGGTACTGGTTGGTCAAAAAATGACAAATGTGCACCACAGGATTAGAGGAGATGCAGCAAGCATTTAGGAGAAAGTGAGGGCAAATCCTGCGAGCAGGCAAAGCGCGGGTGCCCTTCCTCGTCTCCCTCCCACCCCGTTTTTACCTTCATGTCACATAAAGGACCTCATTTCTTAGGCACCTTCTCTCTCTCACCCAAGAGTGTGTGTGAGATCTTAGGCAGGGGCGGTGGCATTGTGCTCAGGATAATCCTGACTCCTCTCTAGTTCATTAAGGAGAAAGCGAAGTGAAGTCGCTCAGTCGTGTCAACTCTTTGCGACTCCATGGACTCTACAGTCCACAGAATTCTCCAGAATACTGGAGTGGGTAGCCTTTCACTTCTTCAGGGGATCTTCCCAACCCAGGGATCGAACCTAGGTCTCTCACACTGCAGGCAGATTCTTTACCAACTGAGCTACCAGGGAAGCCCAGTATTAAGGAGAAAGGGGAATCAATTCTAAAGTTTGGCATTTATTATTATTAGCAAATATAGTAGACTACAGTGGGTTTTGATACATGACATTATGACTAAAGCACGGTTTAGGCAAAAGAGTATCAGAAAAGCATGCTGACCACATGTGCAGGTTTGGCGCTTGCTCTGTGATCAACATTAATTTTCAGCCAAAACCCGAGTGGGCTTTGCTTTGTCTGCCTCCATTTCTTTACTTTCTATTGCATTCAGCAGGTTATGCTGTTGCTAATATTACTTTGTTGTGGTGTCCACTTAAGCTTCCTGTATCTTTCCACATAATGTGCAACCGATGCTAAATAATTACAAATGTAAATAAAGCCTTATAACCAGCCAGCATTGACCGCTGCTTTCTTCAATTACAAGGCTTCCTGAACAGTTATGTCTGCAGGCTGGTTAATGCGCAGTGCTCTCAATCCTAGCTGATTCTGTCGATCACAAGTCATTTCGTGGTGTCTGGTAGCGTTGAGTTCTGAGTTGTGCCATCACCTTATTGAACTTTTATCCTGTTAATGACCCTTCTGCCACAATGCTCACATCACTCAACATAAATTAGCTGTGGCTCCATGCTCATGAATGGAGAAAAATGGGTGTTTTTGTGTTTGTATCTGTATACGTGTTTCTCTTCAGAAAAAAATCTACTGTTTCGTTAATAGCCCAAGTGTCTCTTACTCAACGATCAGGTTGAGGGTATTGCCAGAGACTCATCAGTGCCTTTAATGCCTTGAGGGAAACCCCACTGTATGAAAATCACCGTTGGCCCTCACCTCTAGAGAGACGTTTTTCTAAATGTAACTCAGAAGTCCACAAGGCAGCCTATTCTCTTCAATCCGGCCCAGTGTCTTCTGGTTTTGACTTTCATCCCCTTCGATAGTTTGAATTTCTCCTTCTTACTGGAATGGTTCTTGGGATCTCACTCTGAGCCCCTCCTTCCTCAGGACTCTCCTTGGGTTTCAGGTGAAATGGAGACCAAGTCTGACCTCCCAGCTACTGTCCTGGGATGTTCTGGACCTTGCCTGTTCCCAGTGTTCACTATCCTTGACGGGAGACATACATGTCAAGACATCGCCCATTCCATTGACAGTGCTGGTCTGGAGAAACGCGAAATGCTTCACCTCTACCTTTTCCAGAATTTCTTCTGACAGTGCTTCCAAAGTATGAGAAATGAAGAAAAGGGAATAACAGGAGAGAAGAAGTTGGAAGTTGCTTGTATAATCCATAGACTACAGGTTTCAAATTCCAAATAAACAAAGGATGGCTTAGAGACATATTTATAAACCTTAAATTGTTCCAACTTGTTTTTAAAACCTTAAAATTTCCTACATTTCAGTATGTCAGGCACAGTGCTAGGTTATATTTGAATATACAACATAATATAGTAAAATGTAATATATTGCCAAGTAACATAAATTATATATGATATTATTAATAATATATAAACATATACATATAATTTACTTCTTACAACAACCCTATGGCACAAGGATTATGGGAAGTTCAAGGCAATCAATTTGCCTGTCTGAAAAATTGGTCCTAATTTGTATTTGATGCTTGTGTCTGAATTACTGCTATAGGTTTTATTCTTTGAGATCCCCTAAAGGAATTAAATAAGTTAGGTGACCTCCTAGAACGGCAGTTCTGCTTCTAGTAGCAGAAAATTAGGCTAGAATCCTCCGGAGATTTGCCAGCTAAATTAGCAGCAGAGGGTATAAAAGCAGCAACTAATTCTGCTAGAAAATGAACAGAAGGGAAGTCACTAATCTTATTAGCATCTGTGTCATTAGTCAAAACAGCAAGAATATAGGAATGGAGTTTTGAAGGCTAGTTTCTTTCAAGAGTTCTATTTAAGGGTCCCAGGTCTTATTTCAAGACCAATGGCAGGATAAAGAATAATGGTAGCAAAAGAAATTCCATAGAGGTAAGAAAGTAGAGTTGTATGATTGTTCTATTGCATAATTCTGCAAAACCTGGACAGGGCTTAAGAGGGCCTTCGGGCAGCGCGGCGCTGACTGCTCAGATGCTGTACGCAAGCAGTTGTCATTGTGTTCCAAGAATACGGAAGGCTTTGTGAACAGGCTTCCTTTGTGGAGGGTTAGCCTGAGTGGGTAGGCCAACTGGATTCAAATGTGAAGGACCTGCACCAGGCCCAGGTATTCCTCACAGGAGACAGGCTGCCTTGGGCTGTCCCAGCCCATAGTCCAGAGGCCACAAGGATGGGCATGGACCATAGGGGTGTGTTCTGTTCACTGACTTCTAACCACAGAGCCTGCACAAGTGTGCACGCAGCCCATCAGCTGGGGGTCCATCAGTTCTCCTTTTATTCAGTGTAAAGTTACAAGTCAACAACAGCCTAGGGTTTGATAAGAAACCTACATTTCTCAAAGAAAAAGGACTCAGAAACTATATGAGAAAAAAGATGGTCTCACACTTGACCAGTATGATAGGCCTAATCTTAGACAATGACCAGATACTCAAACTTGTTTGTTTACATCAAATTTTTTCCCCTGATATGACTGACCTGAATTTTATCCCTAGCTTTCAGGGTCTCTGGTCTCTAACCAGTAAATTCTCCAAGTTTGCTTCCAATGTTAACACTCAAATTTTGTAACTGATCAAGTCAGACTCATAACAACTGGGACAGTTAAAACATGTAGACACAAGTGTTAACATGAAGTCTTGGGAGGACATAAAAATATGGGACTTCTGAGTCACCAAATCTCAGGAATTAATTTCCAACTAGATACAATTTCTGGTAATGTGAACTAGGACCAATATGAAATTAAAAATATAATTGCTTTCCCATTTCCACATTTATTGTTGAATTGATAAAATATTCATTTTTAAAAACCCATATGACTGTTGACTTTTCCTGAACATAATTAAGGGTCTCAGAGTATCAGTGCAGTAATTTAGGCTGACTGACAATACAGTCTCATGTGATAACTTTCTAAGGAAATCGTGGTAAAGCCACAAGTAGTGCTGGAGGGGTGAGTAAACAAAGCCCTATCTCTTGTTCTTGGTACTAGAGAGCTCAGAAATGTCACTTCTCATCCCTCCTCTACATTGTCTAGTTTCTTCCTAGAAAATCATGGGCTAAATCCAGAACACTCCATAAAGCTGTCCTGCTAAGGAAGCTTGCCTGCTTTTCGAGCTGAAGGATGGAGACTGGGCTCCCATACTGGCCTGCTGTTGGTCTGTACCTTCCCACCTCTACTCTGATTTCTATTTTTTAACAGCACCTTAATTTTTTTCTAGGAGCCATTCTTTCACGACTCTCAGCCTATGAGATTTAGATGGCTGCTGTCAGGATGGACCTGTACCTGGCTAACCAGCAAATTCAAACACAGAGATGCTTACCTCAGGTTACCTGGAACTCATCTGCCATTGAACCTATTGGTGATATTACAATTCCACTTCTTAAAAGCCAAAAGAATTCTAGCCCTCTTATCTCAGAGCAAAGTCCTTTGCTCTCCACACGGGCAAATTCGTTTGTGTGTCCACGGCGCCGCTAAGGTCAGGACACCTGTCATAGACAGTGACAGCCCCATACTTGGCTACTGTGCTGATTTTCTGAGCTCTGCTCAGGATAAGACAGTATTGATTTTGAAGGTCAAAAAGGCTAATTCTTAGAAAAGAATACCAAGAGATATGCAGTTAGGGCAGAGCTAATAGTGAGTGAGTGGAATGTAGGAACAACCTTTTTTTTCCCCCCTCCAGATAAGGGCAGTGAGCTTTTCCTAGGAGAAAGAAGAGAAGAAAGCTTATTCATCTATAAAAGCCCGCAAGAGTGCAGAGCAACGGAAATCAATGGCGGCTGTCATTGTGTACATCACAATCAGTGAAGGAGAGAAAGAGCGCTGAGTGGCAGACAGATGTTTTTCTAGAGCTTTTGACTCTTAAGAGAGGTCGTGTAGCATAATGGTTAAGGTCATGAGTTTCGGGGGGTCAAATCGCCCGGTTCCAGATCCCATCATGGTCATTTACTAGGTGTGCCAAGTTGAGAAAGTTTCTTACCTCCTCTGCGCCTTACTTTCTTCATCTGCAAAGTGGAGATTAAAGCTATCAACATAGGTTTTTGTTCTAAGGAATTAGTGCATACAGAAGACTAACAGCATTGCCAGGCCCACGGTAAATGCTATTTCTATTCTTGGCAGGCAGCGCTGCAGTGTTCTGTTGTCATCTGCTCTTTACACTCACAAGGTTCAGGATCGCTTCCCAGCACTGTGACCTATATCTCCATCTCACCAAATCTCA